CAATCCTCGGCTACTGATCTTGAAGCAGAAATCTCACTCACTCATTTAGGACCTTTCACTCTAACTAGAGCCTTGGCCACCCAAGTTGGCTCCCACTGGACACTAGGAAAACCCACATGGCAATGAGGTGTCAAACYTCAAAACAACTTCTTCAGCCAAAAAGCTGACTGAAGCAGCTCAATGTCTAACCCAGGATTCCATCAGGTTCCAGGAAAGGCTAAACACAAGAATCCCAAAGGGTGACTGCAGCATTGCTGTCACCTTCCAGAGCTGCACAAGGGCTGGGAGGTGCTGGTCCTGGTGGCACATTTGGAAGAGTTCTACTCACCATTTTCCCAACTTCAAGACAAGCTGCGGTTTGAAAATAAAGACATTACAGCCAGGTTCTTCAAAAAAATAACCTTTATTGTTTTGGTTGTAAATATAAAAAAAAATGCATTGCACAATTTAATAGACCTACTTGAAAAGTGCTACATATCAACAGCACAACAGAAGTTGTGTCATGCAACAAAACAGGAAACCTAGGCAAAGCAAGAGCACAACCTGAAGTCCTCATACCTCCAAGTCTTCTTTACAACAAAAATCAATTCCATTCACTTAAAATACATTTAAATACATAGTTAGAAGAAAGAATGGGGCAATTTGTTGACTGTCTTGTTAATTAAGAGGGTTACTCCTAATATTGATTTCTTTTGTCTCAAAAGCATACCCAAGTTTGGAAAATTCAAATATAAGAGCAGTTCATATAATGCCTACGTTCTATTATATATCTAGGGTGTGTGTTTGTAACTGAATCAAGTTTTACAGATCAATCTACAACTCTGTACTACTGCTCCTGCTCTAACACAGCAAAAGAGCATGAAATCCATCCAAAAATGAAACAAAAGAAAACTTGAGGCTTTTAATTAATGTTGTGGGAACTGTGATGGGATCTCATACAGTAAAACCCTCAAAAGACAAATAATCTCCTCTAAAATCAAAATGTACAAATTGAGGAAGAATGACAGGACAACTCCCGCTGTCTCACCTAATCAAAAGACCTCCTGCAAGTCATCAACAGTGGGTCCAGGATTCTCTAGCACTGGCATGATTGAATCCCTGAAGCACCTAACCCAGGGACAATTAACCTTAGCATTTTGTATGTTGTTCATCTGATGAAGGTGCTCAGGAACAAAAAGAATGGAGAGAGAAAAGAAAAAATCAAGGTTACAGAAAATTCATCTTATTTTGAGCAGTACCTTCTGGTTGACAACATCAAGAAACATCATTAACTCCAGAAACACACATAAAAAGAAATTGCTTCCAAATAATTTGGACTATCAAAGCATTGTGTTACCGGTTTTGCAGCTTCCCTCTCCTTAGTCTGTCTTTGGGGAGGTCTGGGCTTTAAAAAGAAACAAAACTAAGCTTACCTGCCCCTCTCATCTCTACCATGTGTGCACACACACACGCACACATAGAGGAATGTAAAAGAACCTGAGCATACAAAACAAAATGATTGACTCTTTAGATAAGAAGCTACCTTCTAATGCACTCTGATAACACTTTGTCTTTCCAAGACATCCAGATTTAGCACTTGCATTTTGACCAAGGAGCTATCAAATAACTTCTGGTATGACAGCACATGTGTGGACATTTTTACAATCTCAGTTTTTAAGAACCACAGCAATGCCACGCAGATAAAATACACTCTCAAAACCCAGGGAAGCCCCACTGTGTCATTTCACTGAATTTTCCACATATCATCATATTAGGGGAAGGAACGTGTGACTCAAGACACACCGAATGTGCACAGGACCCCAGGTGTAAGGCACAGATGGAAAGGTTCTGACGAGTCTCCTTTCAAGGAAAGTTTCCTTAAGGGTCTGGCAAAGCCAAAGAACTTGCCAATAGCGTCAAGCAGAATAAACTAGGAAGCCTTTGGTTYTCTGCAGAAATCACGCTGTCAAGATAAGGCCTGGACTTGTCTCCATCCCTTCTGTCTATTTAATTCCTTCAATTTTTGCTTGCTTCTGGATTCAGTTTTTCACCCTGTTTCTCCTGTTAAGAGGGACCACAGTCTAAGATAACTGCAACAGATAACGCACAAGTTCTTTACAACCGGGGAAGTGAGGTACATCTACAGTAGAATATGAAAACTCAAAGCTAGAAAGAACCACTAGACAATCTCAAATTGACCTTGTGCATATCACAGGCCATAAAATTTGATTCAGCCACTCCTTTATCAAGCCAAGTGAACGAGATTTGATTGAATATGACTTCAATTATATGAGGTTTTTTTTTTTTTTTTTTTTTTTTTTTAATAATCGAACACCAATCCAAAGGAGACAGATGTGCAGCACCTTTAATTCTCCCTAGAGGCACAGTGTGTTGTGTGTTTTGTTTGCATAAGCTTCCTTTGGTGAGACAGAGAATTAAATCAGTGGTATGAAGGTTTTTTTTTTTTTTTTTTAAATAAACATATTATTTATACTCCTCAATAGACAAGGAAGAAATAGACTAAGGAGTCCAAATACACAACAAAGCATAAATCATGACAAGCATTAATACATATGTGGTCAATTTCTTTCCATGCCAATTATAATCCTCAGTACTTCCACAGTGCAGAGGTGACATACAGTGCACCTTCTCCTCTAGTGTCCCCTATTGAGGTGAAATCTCCCCAGTCTCTCACCTTGACCGGTGAGAGAAAATAATTCTGATTTGCAAAAGGATGGCAAAAGCACACTGAATCACTGCTTCAAAGAGATCAGATAATTTCTGGGAAATGCCCTACATGTAAGTACCTTTTTACTTTACCTTCCTTCCCCTCCTACACTTTCTTTCCTTGTAGCCTAAATAAGCAATCTTTTATTTTTTTTTCCTAAAAGGCTACAAATCCTCACAGTAAAKATGTGCCATGAGCTCATTTCCCTACCACAAGTTAGTAAAGTAAGCACTTTCCTTCCAATTGGAACTAGCTCATTGTGAAACAAGCACAATGATTTCTTTTTCCGGATCAAAACTGTTAACAAGCAAAATTTTAAGCAGCTCTACCCCTTCCCACTCCTCTAAGGTCCCTTTCAACTTCCAATGCATTCAGTGAGATCCGAGATGCTGGGATTTAAGCTTAGAAGCCAGCAGACTTCCCTGGGTTTTGGAGGATGCCTGTAGTGCACTTGGCTTGTGAGGAAACATTTAGATCACTTTTCATAAATGCTGGTGCAACCTCAGCTGCCACGTAGTGACTCCTGGTTAAGAGCATGGCAAGAACCAGGCACAATTCCTACATGCTAAGCAGGAGGCTGCACTGCACAGAGAACGCGTTCATCACAGACATACAGCAGAAACACGGGTGGATCTGTTCCTGAACAATTTGCCCACTGGTTTCTTTCTATAAAACCAGACACATATTTTTAACACGCAAGTATGCATGTAGATATTTATGCATCTCAGAGAGATAGCCCAGTAGAGAATAATTCGAGGGACACTGCCCAGATAATCACAGTGCTAAAAGGCTTCACTAGAATCAAGTTCAAGATCAGTGATAAGAATGTGAGAATTAAAGCACTGATACCAAAAAAAAAAAAAAGCACCTTTTATTCAGATACGTCCCAAAGAATATTGCTCTTTTACTAAATTATTATGTACGAAACATCTGTATGTGGATCCTTTGAGAAAAGCCACTCATTGTTTGATTACTATGACTATCTTTATATGCCATCCTGACAAAACGTTCCTTAGCTGAGGCCTGTATTTTTGCTGGTTGTGTCACAGGGACACAGGTTTCCGTATGTAACATGAACTCCAGATGATGCCTGAGATGTGGTGCKCACACACAAGTGAACATTATCTGCACAGTCTCGGAGCAAGGGAGAAAAATACTCCCTCTGACCAAACTCACTGATGCTTTTTAGAAGTTTAGTCTGGCAAGTGGGAAAGACTGGGGACAACGCAGTAAATAACTACATCCCAGCGGAATCTCCTGACCCCATTTAGAGCGGGCAATGTCTGTATGTTTTGGCCACTCCTCATTCTAGCACTGTGACAACCTGCTACTCCAGGCAGCCTGCTTTGAAACTGGAGAAAACTACTCACAGGAGGTACCGGGGCGGCATTATCCGTCTGCACAGCTCCCAAGAATCGGGATCAAGTCATCTGGGAACTAAAGAATCCTTCCATCCCAACGCACTGGCTTGAACCAGTATCCCAGTGCTGCTTAATGATGGACACACTGCCACTGCTGTAACGAGACTGAGCTCATTTGCAGCACACAGTAGTAGCATTAGCTGAGAYTGTCCCTGAAAACTGTAACGCAGTATTTCAAATTTTAAACAAGATGTGTTTTCAAATCTATGTTGAACACAACCTTGCTAGTACAGACAGATAACTTTGGCCAAGTCCTTCAGGTTTTTCAGACAGAAAGCAGAAAGAATATGAAAAAAGACAAAGAAATTAAGCATGGATTCAAATTCCATGTGGTTTGATACAATTTCTGAGAAAACATAAAAGCCAGTTTCTTAATGTAACAATCTCAATTCCTGTGTCTGAAGCGTTACTACATTCATCTATGGATGTGTTTTTTTATGAGCGCATTTTATGAAGAAGGTGGTTCAGCTCTGCAGAGTGCAAGAGAAGAGTTTACAGATATGAATTTCTTGTTTCTGCTGTAACTGCAGAACATATGGAAACTAAAACTGTTCTCTTGCACTTACTGAACAGCTTGCTACTCACTTGCAATGGCTAAATCAGAAAAGATAACAAAAATAGCTTTGCTAAGAAATTTGCTAAGAAATAAAGTGTGCCTTGAAACTGATCATATGTAAAGGATATACTCATTAAAATAAAAATACACAATACATAGCCTGAGATTTTAATTCTAGTATTTTGTCATGAGTTGACATACACTGATGGGCTTTTCTTCTCCTTTGGTTTTTAATGTGATCCTGTTTTTTTTTTTTTTTGCTATTCAAGTAAAAGAAATGGAACTGAACACCTGAAAACAAAATAAAAAGCACATTTTGTTTCACAAAATCGAAAGTATTTTTCCCCTTTAAGAGACCATTCCTTGGTATACAAGATGTACACGTCAGAGTACTTACTATTTGAAGCTGCTTTATAGAAAGGTATTTGTTGCATATAGATGCACGCTGCATTGATGGAGATATATTGCTGCCTGCAGGACTCAAACCTGCTTCATTTACCTGAGCTTGGTGTTCTCACGTAACGGAGTGGAGCACAGCACTGAAGAGGAATTGAAACGTTGTGGTAACGTTGCATCATACTTCCATACACTCCAAGGCAAAGTCAGACGCCCTGGACAACGTCTTGGATGATGGAGAGCATTCTTTCTAAAGTGCACCAGCTGAAAGGAGACCCACCAGGCTGCTCCGACTGGCTGGTTCTCCACACCTAGTGTAAGCAACTCCCTGTCTTTGGTTGTTAGGTTTCACCAGCTGTTTCGTTCATCTTGTTAACAGCCTCAGTAGCCTGCTCTGGCAAGCGCGACGGATCCGTCAGGATTGAGGTGGTTTTATTTAGATGCCGAAGGGCGTTCAGCACCACTGGAATAAAGGGCAGAAAGGTATCAGGAAGAAGCAGTAACCTGACTGCAAACCAATCTATGCACAAGAGTGAGCAAGTACAGCAAGGGTGCTACGTACTACAGAGGTATGGGAATACTTCTGCAAAACATGCACACCTGCACACACAGCAACAGCAAGGGACAGGGAAGAGCATGAACTGAATTAAGAGAACAAGAAATGGAGATCCAGGACTTCAATGCAACACCAATGTCTTCTACTAAAAACATTAAACCTAAATACAAATACTTGCTGAATCGTAAAGGGAGAAGATGAAGCCACTGTGAGCACGCAGAGATCATCTCAAAGGTAAATACAAATCTGCAAAGCCTCTCCCTTTATAATTAGGGCAAATCGCTCCTTTATAATGAGGCAAATCACACTGACAAATATTCCTCCAAATAGAATGCAGTATTAAAAATTTAAATGCAGCTTGAGCCTGTTTGAATTCTGGAATCTGTATTCAGAAGCTTAGTAAGCTTTCTCTCCTCAGTGTTAAGTTTGCTCAGGTGCTGTCATAGTAGGAGAGCTCTTCATCTTTCCATTCAAAAAATGAAAAGGTATTAAAAGTGTATTCAGCATCATGTGCTTCTCTGTCCTACTCTGACTTTCAAGAAGTGGTTTTATACATGGTCTCATCTATTATGATCTGGAATTATTGCTAGTTAGAGCACTACTTACTTGGCCTCAGCACAGGAAGAGAACAGTGTTGATCCAGCCAGGCCATCGCAGTTTGATTCAGATCCTTAAAGCTTGTTGTGGAGACCATCCCATTGAAGGACTCAAACAACGGCTTGATAATAATGCTGAACTGCAAATCATCAAGTGTCAAGGGAGAGAACAAAGGAAGAATCCAAAGCATCCTATGGAATGGCCTAATGCAGCTTGATCCACAAACAAACAATAAAAAAGGACTTTATAATGGACTTCAACTATCAGAACAATTGTGACTTTTTTTGGTGACACTAAACAAGAGGAAAAAAATGAATGGCAGCCCCTAGCTATACTGATTATTTTTCATAAAATTTATGCATGACTCATTTAATCATCAGGCTGATCACAGGTGATTTGCTCAGAGCACTTTAAAAACTTGTATGGACATGTAATTAGTTCAACTTTAATTTTCTTTTTCAAACCAGCTCTGACCATGTAACACTGATGCTTTTAGGGAAGGATATAGAAGCCTCATGTCACTCCTAGACAGGGCGCTCTGACTGCTATCAGCAGCATGTGAGAACGTGGCTCAAACCACTCTCAGAACTGCGACACACCCTCATCTCCCTCAGAGGGCTAATGATCAAGAAAAGTCTAATCATTACCTAGAATATTAGAGAGGATTTGCATATTCTTAAAAGTCTGTGCAGAGTAACTGGAAGAACGACAAGGGTATTCTTCTATCGCTATTCTGCTATTACAGGGCATTCTATTCTTGGGTTATCTTTAATAGCCCAAGACCATATTACTCATTTCCCTTGTACATGCAGAAAGTGCAGCATTTTCAGACTTATGAAAATCCTTCCTTCTCTTTCTTACAGAGATTTCATTTCTTATTAGCACCCACTCCTGGGGGCCTTGTCAGCTTTTACTGCAAGATATCTGAAATATATGGTCATGTGCTAAGGGCCCGGGCTATTAGAACAACTGTTCCCTCGAAATGACATCCTGACCTGCAAACGGAGCCTTGGGAACACTATTTTGCCTTTGAATCTTCAAACATATCAATACCAAAATTTGATGTTCAAATTTTTATGTATTTTTATGATTAACATAAAAAGATACAATCCAAAACTTCCAGTTCTGGAGGGTCCTGTTTCTGACGTACTCATCAAACATGCTCCTCATGTGATCGAATCTTTGTCGTGTTATGGGAACTCCGGTAGCAGGGAGCTGCTGTTGGCAAGAACTGAAAAGAAGATATCCTGAGGTCAGCATCTCACCACAAAGGATGTATTCCCCTTCCAGACTATAATATAACGTGTGGAAAATGTGCATCCCTGGTTTCTCAGACCGAGGAAGCTTCCTACTTAAAGATTTCTGGAAGCTGGTAGCAGCTCTGCTCGTCTTCAATACCCATCTGTCATTTGACATGACATCTGAAGCAAACGTGCCCTACTGTTAGCCAAAGCAAAGTTCCACCTGCACACAAAACTCCCCAAACCTCACATGATGGTAGTGTTGAGCTCCTCGATTTCTTCCCGAAGGCGCCTGGTCTCCTCTTGCATCTGTGCTCTTTCCTGCTGCAGCTTAGCGATATATTCTACTGTTTTCTGCAGAGTGATTGCATGGCTGATCTAGACCAAACACAAACACAAAGCCCGCTTTCTGAGACAAAGCTGAGATGAAGAGTTTGCCCCTAACCTGCTGTAACACCCTGAAAAGCATTTCAGCAGCTTTTCTCAAGTTTCCTTCACCTTGGCAAAGCAAACAGGCAGGCAGACAGAAAGACTGTTAATGTTCTCATTTCTCTGACTCCTGTTTGCACAGCAGTGCAGCAAGAGGTGCTTCAAGTAGTTTTCTACTACCTCAAATGTTATTTTTGATACTTCTTTCTTGGAAGAAGTATTTCAGAAGTATTAAAAGGTATTTAATTATGTGTCCTCTTAAAAACACTTAAATTTCACTTGGGGTACTGAGATAGGTCTTGTACTTGCTGACACATTTGCTTGTGCTGTTAGAAGCCTCATTCCAAGTTGATGATTTAGATTACTTGGTTTGGTAGTCTGAAGTTACTAAACAGAAAGTATCATGATCTAGTTGTCATTAAAGGGAAGAGAAACAATGTAACAGATGTTTTACAAAAGACTGCTTCCAGTTTTGATGAAAGAACTAAAAAGCTGAACTTAAAATACAAAATAATCAGATCTTTTATTAAAGTCAAGTTTTTAAAACTGTCTACTTTTCAAATAGGCTACTCAAAATAAGTGAAATTCTGGTAACTCACACCAATGCTATCCACCTGGCTTCTGCCTGGCTCATGGGGCAGGCAGAGTGAGTTCACAATACCAGCTACACAAATTCCCCTTTTAAATCCAGTTATGGGGACCAGAATACCCTGAGGAAGTGTGAAACACCAGTGCGTCAGAGGAAAAGCAACAGAAGAGAAAATACAAAGCAGTCTCATGTTTCACACACGACAAAATCATCATTACTGGGCGCCCAAAAGAAAGACTGCGAGCATCAGTTTTCTTCTTCCCCTGATGGCTTTAAAGCAGCACCATCTGATTTGCTGAACGTCTGAAATGCATTGAAAGAACACTAAGAGAAAAAGATGTTCCCGCAGCCTTCTGACAGGAAGCCATGGATTTCTCCTCCTACCCTTTCCAAGCCCTCAGTTCAAGTATCTTCCCCGACTGCCTGGCATTCTCAGTCCACAGCAGAGACTTACTTTATTAATAATTCTTTTCCAAATGCATCATAGTTTCTTAAATTCTGTATTAAATTGTTAGTCGTGCCAAGTTACTTACCAACTTGGAGTTGGCTGAAACCAAGCTGTTCAAAGTACTTAGGCCAATCCTGATATTAAATCTTCGTTTTTGTTCTGCTGAACTATGCTTCATTCTTCGATTCTGCATAAATAAAACTGGTTTAGTCTATGTGGTTTTCTTCTACTGTTGTACTTCTATTTAAGCTATTGTAATTCACAGTGTGACTACTTTGAATGATGGCATTCATAATATTCCTAGTTGAAGCACTTGTAAACAATGATTTGAGAAAATAAAAAGTGTCCAGTTTATTAAATTCCAGACATTCCACGTTTTCTTTTTAAAGAATGCTCTTTTCTGAAGTGTAATTCTACATTTAGGGACATGTAATTTGTTAGAATATTCTTGTGACTAAGTTTAATAGTCTGTATCATTTATTCCTAATAGACGTGGAGTGTCTGCTGGTACATCTACAGCCCCAGCTGTGACTCACAACCTGAGGATAAAGCCTTTGTCAGGAATTAACATTTTCATTTGCAGCATTAGAAATGTAGAGGCTGTTTCTACCACAATTCTTGGAAGAAAACAAGGAGTCTGAGCTTGCAAAATGTGCTTCTTTGCAGAGCTAGGCTTCCCAAGAGTAACTCACCGTCCCCCCAATTTATAGTGAAGGAAAAGGATGCAACAAAGCAGTTAAGTGGCTACCCAAAACTAAATCAAATGCAAGTCTAAGAGCAGCACTGATTTTCAGTGTCCTCCATGCTTTGGCACATTGAAGAAACTATTTTACCCTGCAAAGATGGAGCTGCTTAGTCTAATGAATGGTGCCACCTGCAAAGGAGCAAAGAACCTACACCAGGAGTGAGGCAAACCTCATTTCCCTCCTATCTTACGAAAGAGTTTCTCACACTACATATTCGACACATTCCTGTCAACAGAGCTGAGCTGAAACAGCTTCAAAGCCAGTCTCATTGCAGGGTCCTTACTGTCAAGGACACTGCTCCATCTGGTGGCTACTTTCCCCATCAGAAGCATGCAGGGATCATGAAAGAGGATTTCTCTTTTTTTTTTTCCCAAAGGATTTTATTCCTTTGTTAACTTACTCTATAGCAGCAAGAATGGACTGCAATTACTGATTGTGAGCATTTTTGCTAAGCAAAGAACTACAAGCTACAACGGATATCTTGCTGTAAGCTCAGCAAGTGGCACTCTGATCCTGCTCTGCAGCAGAAATGCAACCGGGTGCAATCCCAGGCTGCAAATGTTGAAACTTACCTTTCAGGCCCAGCCAGAACCAAGCTGACACCAACCCACAGGGTGAAAAAAAAGCCAAGGAACCCATAAAAGGGGCTGTCACTTGCAAAATGATTAAGTAACACTCCTTTCACAGCAAAAGGGATGTGAGTGTTAGAGCTGATTTTCCTGTGTTTATTATGTTTTGTGGGGAAATTTCTCGCATCGAAGAAAATATCCTGACAAGGTCAGTTTGTACATGACATACAACCATCTGGCACCTTATCCCAGTAATTCCCAGAGTGCTTTCCAGCTGTAACCAGTAGAGCCTGTGCTTCAAACAGGATTTTCTCTGTGAGGCAGCACAACATCACTGGGGACATGCACAAACTCAGCAGGTCAGGAATTCACCCTCCAGGGACAGCCAGGGCCCTGCAGGCCTGAGAGCCAGAACAGCTCCAACAGAACAACGGGTGAAAACACGTTGAGAAAACTAAGCCTGAAACCTCCAAACGAGTAAACTGAGACCCGTCATAAGACTCCTGTGAGCTGCAGCAGGAACCGCTGTCCTGGCTATAAGGACTTGCAGAGCCCTTCTGGTTCTCCAGGAATGCAGCAGAGTTTTAAAGCCTGACATTTTACGTTGAACAGAGCAGCACGGATGCAAACTAAACCCTAGAAACAAATATTCCCCTGTTCCTAAAGCACAGGCTACAAAACACCTCCAAGGAAAGGACACGCACCTTAAATGCAGCTATCTGAGGGTCCGTGGTGGGTTTTCCTGAGCAGCTGTTCTGGGGAGATTGAGGGCTGGGGCTCTGCTCGGAAGCGCAGGGGGAGGCTTGGCCTGAATTCTGACAGTCTCGGCCTTTATAAAGGGAAAAAAGATAAGTCAAAATTAAAACAAAAAGGACCTTCTTCTGCTGAGAAATTTCTCAGCAGTTACATTTGCTATTTAGAGCACAATTAAAACACAGTCAATATTAATTGACATAGCAGCTAGATGCTATACATCAGCTACACAGGCCAACTGCTGGGAAAGCCTGGTATTTAAAGATACAAGACAAGGCTCCCTGAGAATATCAATGTATTGCACCCCCCTCATACAAATATGCATACCAGTAAAAACATCTTGAATGTGTAGGCTTTAATTTCACTGTTCTTCTAGATGATGCTCTAAAAAGGCTGGAACCTGTCAATAATACTTATAATCCATTCACTGGAAAAAATAACATGCATCTCAAACTCCTCTACCAACACATATTATCACCAAGGGAGCCTTTGTGCCTACTATAATGTGCCTACTATAATGTGCCTACTATAATGTGCCTACTATAATGTGCCTACTATAATGTGGATTGTATCTACTATAATGTGGATTGTATTGAGCCTCTGATCAAAAATTCATAGTTACGACACTGAACAGGAAAATTATTCAGCACTTTCCACACAGATTCCACTCAGTTTGATTAATTCCTTAGGAAAATTACGGTGTTTCCTTTTAGAAAGCACAAAAATCACAGCAACTGTAAAACAACAGCTTAAATATTGGAAACAACTGGATACAAACAAAGCTGCAGGGCAAAAGGGGCTACAAAGCTTTTCCTTCAAAAACAATCCTGAGATCTTTGTTTGGCTGAACTTGTGTAGGCCCAATTACATTTTACCTGAGCAATGCAAATGCTCTTGTATGCGTGGGGGAGACGGCGCTCAGAGCTTTCCAACTTACTCGGTGTAGGCGAGGGAACCTGCGAGCTGCTACTGTGGGCTAGGATTTGCTCTCCTTTCACCAACACATCCTGGACTACGCCTGGAGAGAAGAGGTGCGACACTGTGGACTGGCCTTGTTGGCTACTCGGCGCCTGCTGCGCTGGACCGACCAGGATGTTACTGCGGAACTCCGTCACCCCCGGAGTCTGGGAATAGCACAGGGAAAAACAGGCAGAGAAAGCGATTTGCCACATTGCTTTTCAGTACAAGTAGCAAATTAATACATGATTAACAACCCGATGACACAAACCAGGGGCTAACGTGAGAAGCTGGCAGGCACTGAAGTCAGGCTTCTGGCAGGAGACCAGTGTCTCTTTATAATTTAATGCAGCATTACAACATGTCAACAGCACAATATACTAAAATTGATTTCCATCTTTGTCTACATAACATATTGGAAAAATATATTGGTTCATACACCACCGGCAYACTTTCCAGCTTGTAGCTGGGTTGCTGAGCATGCTAGGTGCCTTCAAGCTTTACACCTGCCTCTTTATAATCATGTAGCTGTACGAGAGAGAGGCTATAAGGACGAGATTGTGCTTCCAGGCACACAAAGTAGCAAAAATAAAAATAAGCAAATCATAACACTGAATGCACAAACACATATGCTGGGTAACTAGTGAGATTTAGGAGACTAGTTACCCTCCTGAGCGCATTACAGCTCTAGCTACTTGCAAGCAATACACCGAAAACAGACATATTTTTTCTTCTCCTTACTCTGGCAATTCCAGTTGGTGCAATTGCAACGTTAGACTGAGAAATGGCTGGAGTCAAAATCCCCTCTCTTTTTAAAGGTGCTGGAGTTACAATCACAGCTCTGGACTGTCCTGGAAAGGCAGCTGAAGAACACAATTAAATCAGAATAGTTAAAGAGACAGGAGGGAGGAAAAAAAAAAAAAAAAAAAAAAAAAAAAGCAGCTGGAGATGATTTTGTATGAAACAACTTGGCATGCATCAAGGCAATAGTTTAATGAAAACCTATTTGGTACTATTTCACTACAACATAGAATGCTACTAATACGTTGATAATCTCAGTCCCATAAATCGAGTAGACAGAACTGTGCCTAGCAAACCAGGGAGGTGCAACCTGTCCTCACTGTATCACAGCTCGGTTTCACAGGAGCAGAAGCCTCTTCATCACCTCTCCTCTCACATCCATGCTGCTTGGATCTCAGTCTTGCTCTGCTGACCCCAGACAGAAACCATCTCATGGATGCATATTCATACTTTGCGCTTCCTTACCCACATATTAAAGTTTCACTCCCTTACTACCTTCCTCTATTAGCTCCTCTCACCATCTGGATTTGCAGATGCTGCTTAACACGACACACAGCATGGCCTTCGCTCTCYTTTGTACTGGTAAAGTCAAGGAAAAAGTAATGTATGAAAAGAGTCAAGACAGCTCAATCCCCACCAACTTGCACCTTGGCAGCTTTGCATGATGATACTAAACACAATATACAGCAAAACCCAACATCCTCTCCTTGCCCTGTGTCATCTGCTGCTAATAATAACAACTGTGTTTTGAGTCGGCTAAAGTCTTTGTACTGCCTTTACTGGAAGGTCCCGTGGACTGCACAACTCCTGCAGGCTCTGTTGTAGGTTTATCTGGCAGAGCGCAGTCACCCTCACCGATACAACAGCTCGTTCTTGGGCTGAGCACCCCTACCCGCAGGGCTGAAATCGCTCCCTTTCCACTGTTCCCTTCTGTACTGTCCAGCTGTACACACAGCATCTCTAATGAGCRGAAGAATCTACTCTTATCAGCGGACTAACTGTACTACATTAATCTGGTATTTATGACTTCCATATTTGGGTAACTGCAACGATCAGCACATGTTCAGATGTCCCTTTAGGGGCCTCGGGTCTCCATCCTACATACACTTCTTCTGTAGACTTTCCTCTCCCAGTGGCAGCACAGTTCTTTCCATGAGAGCCTGAGCCTGATGAGACAACTTGCATGGACTTCCAAGTTCTTATTTCACACAATAAACATAATATATCCCTTTCCAAGAGGTTAGGATGCGACTCACTTGTTGCACTGGAACACAAGTTCCAGTCTTGAGACAAATGAAGTACCTTGAAAGGTTATAAGAACACAAAGCTCAACCTCAGAATATATCTGAAACAGGTAAATATGACCCGTGGTGCTGGAGAGGGCCATGATGCACAGATATGCAAAGTGACTTGTCCAGGGCAACAAGGCAAGTCAGCGACAGTGACAAATTTGCCACTCTCCAACCCACACTTGTCTCCCTGCCATCTCCTACTCTGCTGTGYAGCTAAGTGGAGCGGAGCTAATCAGAACAGCATTAATATCAAAAACAAGGTTTTCATGGGGCACGAGTGCAGAGCTCTAGCCAGTCCATAAACTGATGCACTGATAGAGCTCAGCACAAAGTTTACAAGGAGATAAAATCTTGGGGCTGAAAACCACACAGTGAATCACCCCTTTGGCAGGTCTCTTTGCACACTCTCCCAGTAGCAGCCCAGGGCACCCCATCGTGCAGTGTAACCACAACCTACCAGATTCGCAGGTCCCTGGGACACCCTTCGCAAGCTGCAATTTTACTTATTATTTAAAAAAAATGAAAAGCAAGATGGCTCTCTCCTTGCAGACCCATTCAGGAAAGAGAAACACCACCGCAACGCCTCTCACCTGGGGTGACGAAGGCATTCTTTAATACTAAGGACACTGTTTCAGGCTTCGGAGCAGGCACTATATTTTGTGACTGTTTGGGTCTTGTCGCAGCACTGGCCAGGGGAACAGCTTTAGGGAGTGCAAAAGTCAGCTGGGACTGAAGCTGGGCCCGGGGCTGCCCCTGCAGGACAGCAGTCTGGAAAGCCAGGTTACAAGGCACTCCGGCACCCGGCTGCTGCGTGGCCAGGATCAGGTTCTGGCTCTGGCTGAAGGTGGTGGCGGGGGCGTTGTGGGTCAGCGTCGCGGATGCTGTATGTGTAATAACTGTAGATTCACAGAGGCCAAACTTCTGCGTTTCTGGGGCAGCAAAAGCAGATGGTGGGGAGCTCAAACCAGTATTGAGAGGCACTGCAGGCAACGGGGACTGGTGCTGTGGGGTCACAGGTTGAAGCAGTGGCAGGGGAGTTTGAAATACTGAGACAAAAGGTTGTGGCCCGCTGAGAGACGAGTCTGGAGTGAAGTCCGCTGGCTGGATGAAGGATCCCCCACTTCTAATGCTGGAGCACTGGTCAGTGCCAACATCAGGAATGACCGGAGCAGGTACTGAGGAAGCAATCAGTCCATCACTGAGGTTCCCTGCTGGAAGTGTGCTGGGTAATGAACCCGACGGCAGGACAGGAGACTGACAGGAAAGAAAAATATTTCTGTTTAGAGGTGCTCCCYGAAACTCTTCCTTTGAGCCTCTTCTCATCTCTTCTGAAGTAGAGAACACGGCTCATGTCTGAAGGTCTAAATGACACACACGTGTTTGAGCTGAGCCTGCTGTAAGCAGTGAGAAGCAACCTTACCTGAGAAGAATGGCTGCTGCTGTCTGTTGTAGCAGCACTGACAGCAGACACAGAAGGGAAATAATTACTGGAACGACTGGATGCGAACAAATCTGAAATATTAAGAGTTGCTTATTATTCTTCTATTTTCCACATTGGCAAGACAGCATTGCTAAATAACACAAGTTCACAGGAGTCTCAATATTACTTAGGAAATAATGAACCCACAAGATTTTTGCTTCATACAACTGCTAAGAAATTAAATGTCTTCCAAATATTGTTCTCCTTTCGGTCAAATTTTGTAACTTCTAAAGAGAGTAGATATCCATACAGTTTAGTTTTCTGTTATACACTAATTCATAAATCACTGCAATTTTAAAGAAATTAATTGATAATATTTCTGATTCTTACCCTGAAAAGGCTCAAAGGTATCCATGAAATCAAGATTAGGCTGGAGAGGAATAAGCCCTGGTTGAATCATGTCAGCATTTCCTAAGTGTGCTGGAAAATTCAAGAGAGATTAGCTTTGCATCATCTGCAGAGTAACATCAATAGCAGCTTGGCACTTGGCTAGAACTAACACACCACAGCCTGGCTTGGCCAGGCCATTTGCATAAAAACTGTTGCTGAAACAGTTTGGGCATCTGCCCTCCTTCAGGACTACWGTTCTAAGACCAGATTGTTGGGGAATTAAGCTTTAAAACCCTGAAAAGGAAGAGGTTCAGGAAACCCTGAAGGCTCTGGCAAATGACAAGGGTACTCTAGCCTGGACACCTCACAAGTTTATTGCTCCCAAACCTCCTGCCTGGCCCCTGCTGCGCTGGGCACGATCTGGCTGTGAATCAGACCCTGAACCACACAGTTAATAAACTTTTTAAAAACAAACCACCTTCCATCTCATTTTGCTTAAAGTATACTTCATGTAAACTACACTGGCTCTGGAGTTGCTCACACAGGTCAGATTATCCACGCAGCAGGGACAGGTCAGATATCCATGCAGCAAGGACAGTGCATGGTGGCCATGTGCCATCTCACTAGTCAGAGACTTCAGTCAGAGACAGGCTGACAGAACTGCATAGCTCTTGGGATTGTTTGTATAGATGTGACCTTCTCTCTTCTAAGAGACATACCCAAAGATTTTGAGGCTACATAAATGAATACCTATTCAGGCACTCCTTAAAAATAGATGCATATTTAATATTTATACACACGCGATTTGATATAAATAGCAATCCCTTCACTGGTGATAAAGGTAAATAGGGTTTCCTACAGACAGATTTATTCAGAGTCATATTAGAGGCTATATCAGGAACTCTGAGTAAGAAGCTAAGACAAGAATGGAGACAAGAATGGTATTTGGATGAGTAGCTGAGGTTCTATAAGCTAAACAGCTGTATTCCCTGGCTATTTTTATCTCTATAGGAAAGTAAGATAAGCTTTCTTAAGCACAAAATGAAACAAGAGTGGAAGAGAAGCAAAGCAATAAACCAGGTATCATCTACAGATTTCTCACTGCAGAATCAACATAGCCAGTGGCCAGCAAATACCTATCTCTCTGGGATTGGGCCAGGAAACGAGCTGATGCGACGACAGTGTGGAGAASAGCGTGTCAGTGAACTCGGACATAAGCATATCTGCATCCAAGAGGGAACCCTCCTCCATGGGGACTGGAGTCTCTCGGCCATACCTTCTTTTTTGCCACAGAACCACATCATCATCCTGACAAAGGAAAGGAAGAAAAGGCAGACTCAGTCAACAACACGGTCTGTCTCAACACAGGCAGGGTAAAGCAGATACCATTTCCATTTTTTGAGACTTTTTTTTTTTTTTTGAGAAGCATTCAATTGGATAGAGATCACAACCAAGATCAGTGGTACTCCTAATAAAATAACTTAGGCTCACTGATTTGATCAGCAGAAAATTTCAGTACAACATCACCACACTCTGGGGAAAGTTGGTACACAAACCCTAAAATAACTTTTAGGAACACCTCCTAGTTTCATTGGTTATATGCATATTTTTGCATCTATAGTTTAATGACCTTTTAGGTTGAATAACCTAATAACATGGACAGCAAAAACTCAAATAACACCTCCCATTTGAAGTGTTTCTTTCTGACTCTCTGAAATGCAATTAGGTGTAATTAATCTGAGTTTCTACAAAGCATGTTTATGTTCTTGTGGGCACTTTTAGCACATCAAAATTAGAACATACTGTGACTTGGCTTACCCCTTCACTGCAGGCTAAGCTAAACTGCACTGCCTTACAATGCTGCAGACTAGAGACAGACACAGCCAGGTTCTTGTGGCCGAGCCAGCCTGCAGCACTAGCCACAGCTGTGTGCCATGATGCTGCACCACAGTTCAGGAGCAAAACAGTTGATTTTGTGAACTTGGGACAGATCCAAACTCCTGCTCAGCCTCAAAAAGAAAAAAAAATCAARAATTGAACAATGTTTCTGATCATCAGTTTATGCCCAAAGCAGGTTTGACAGCTTTAGGGGGTATGCTAAACGAAGATATTGTTGTTTCTCTAAACATCTTGCCTGCCTTGGATCCTGGCAGACTATTTGCCCGTGTTGTGGCAGCAGGATGCTCTGTAACAGGTAGTACACACATGCCATATATCCAGTTACACAAGCAAGCTGGTGGTGCCAATTACGACTCAGCAACAAGATGAAATAAYGTACCAGCCCTCTAGGAGACCGATCTCTCTGGGCACCCAACACTGGTTCTCTTTTCTTTTGTCACAGCACTTTATGTTCAGCCTTTCTTCCACCCAGTTTAAATTGGAAAATGTATACTGCTCTCCACGGCACAGAAACATTAAGCTGTTTGACCTTAATTAAGACTAAAGCAAGATGCTTGTCTTTAGATTCTAATCACTGCAAGCTACTGCATGTTACAGCTTTGTTATTTATTGCAGGTTCTACAGACAGAAATGCTGCCACTTATCAGAGATATTACCTACCCTGACCAAACTTGAAAGATCTTCATCTTTGTGTTTCTGTAACTGCAAAAGAACAAAACAGACTTACAACAAAGTTAAAACAGAACCTGTATGTACAAGTAGAATATCTGATTTTGCAAAAATTGGGCCACGTACAATTGGTCCCTGCACAATCATTTCCAGGCTAGTGAGACTAATTTGATGAGTATGCCTGCATTAGCTTATTATCAGCTTGAAGGATTTTTGCCTGATAGCAAAAGTGGCACTGCAAAAAGCCACAATATGTTGCTGACAGTTCAAGTAGGTTACTTCCACTATGCAAATCAACAGACCCTTTTTTTGAAGTAGGTCCTCCACTTGTGGTATTCCCTGATGACAATTTCAATTCTTCGTTTCCAATATTTCCCTTCCGTTGCAATGGCCTGAGAACACAACATATACCAGGAATTATGCAGAATCACAGAATAGTCGATCATTCAATAGATTTTTAAGCAAATTTTCAGGCAGAAAAAAAAAGACAAAAAGGCAAGCATGCTATTTCTATCTAAGTTCATGTATTAGCAGATCAGTGTTCTAGAATTCAGATATCACAGAGGAAATCTGACATAGTACCAGCTTCATCTTTCCCACAACAAACAAACAAGAGATGACTTCTGACTGCAGTGTCAGCATCTCCCATATTGGATCAAACATAACCAATATTTAAGACATGGCCAAAAAAAAAAAAAATAAATAAAACCAACTAAAACCAAACTTACTATACACTAAAACATAATGTATAAAGCTTACAACACCCTGCCCTGCAGCAAACAGGCAGAGAGAATTTCACAAGGGTGCATGAACATGCATGTGCATACACACGAGCTGCTAAGAATGGCACAAAGCAAGAGAAGCCTGATGTCCAGCTCGGGAGAAGCGTCACCTTGCAGGCCACAGAGTGGACACCACTGCCCTAACTACAACAAAAGGACCAGAACAGTGTGGGTCTCTAATGTATCACAGATACCAGTGTGTGATAAACTGGGACAGCAGACTAATGAGAGCCTTAACACAACTTTCTTGGGTTCGCGGATCATCTTTCAACAAAAACATTAACATTGTTCTTTTCTGGGACAGTTCCACAAACTCTTCTGGAACTTCTTTCAGCAGCAGTTGCTACCTTGTTGTTTCCTAGAAGGGCACAGCATTTAAAAATTATTCTGGAATTATGCAGTACAGAGACAGCCAAATATGGTCACATCAAGGGCCTCACTGGTTTTCTGCAAGGAGCCAGAGGGCACCTATTAGTCTGCATGTATATTTACAGGAGCACAAAATGAAAGTACACAAACCCATAGTCACTCTTATTGTGAAGTAACCTTGACAAAGAAAAAAAAAAATTGCTCGTTGTCTTGAAATCACACTTCAGCAACTGAATAAAGACGCAGAAAACTTTCACAGGGCCTCTTAGATTCAATCCTGAAAACAGTCACACTCTGATTCCTACTGACTTCAGCAAACTCCAGCTAGAAGAGAGCTGTAGCTGTCAAAAGCTTTTAACTATTCAAATTCCACTTCTAGGACTTATATTTCACCAGACTAGAACACAGACAGAGGTTATATAGATAACAATTTGTCTTTGAGTAGCATCTTGATTATCTTAATATGATAAAATGACAAGCACTGTCTGTATAGCACATATTTGTTATATTGACAGTTCCTATAYAGACAGATGCACCAGAGCATACACTTGCTATGCTGCTTTATAGCTAGTGGACTAGAAATCTAGTTACAATTTCTAGACCTCATTAGTTCAGACATTGCTCGGGTTGTACGTACTTCTGGCCGACGATGTTCATCTACATCCACAGAGCCATCCAGAGGAGTCACAAAGTGGCACACTGGGTTCTTGCGCTTCTCCAGATCTGAAACAAAAATGACAACCTGAGCACTCAGCGAGGGCAGGCCCTGCAGAGCCCTGGCACCTGAGCAGCAAGAGGTGTGAAAATCTGGCCAGGGATCCTTCYGGGTCACCACAAGGAAACGAGGAAATTCCCAACTGCACGAGGATCATACAGCAGAGCAGCAGTGCAGAGACCTCTGGAGAAGACTGATCCAAAGACACTGTCAGGACATCTTTCTAGACATCCAGGCCACTAACAACGTTTGAACTTTCCATTAGACATAACTTCAGTTCTCCTGTCTCGACACTTACATGTAGAAAAARCAATTTCTAGTGAGAGGCAACCAAGTTTGATACCTACACTGCATGTACCAGGCCCTCCAGATGGCGTTATTGAGACGGATTTTATCTCTCCACTGCAGTTTCAAGCCTTTAAAATTTTTCCATTTTGGTGAAACCAGCTTCCCACTGAAACAAAACAGACAGAAAAAACATTCTAATTTCAGTTTTCTCTTGCTCCTCTCTTGAGGATATGTAGCTTCCTCCTAAAATTGTTAAATGGCCAACACAACAGAAAGTACAAGCCATGCTGGTTGTGACACAGAGGTTCTGCTCTACGCTGTCTACACAGATGCTTTGGCCAAGGTTTAAGGACGCAGGTGCTGGAGAGGGGATCCACCTTTCAGGCTTCCTTCGGCTTCTGCTGGCAACTGTGACCGTGGGTCTTGACTACACGGCGGTCACCTGCACCTCAAGCAGGACTGCAACTCATTCTGCCTCTGCCTTTTCCCTGACGGGGTTCAGCCTTCTTGAACGCCAGTTTCCCTTAGCTGACAATAGGATTGCTCAAAACTGAGCTCAAACCCTGTCCTCCAGCTCTGTGCAGGTCTGCCAGCTTTGAGTTTCGCCTGGCTTGGATCTTGGCAAGGCGCTGGATGAAGTCAACACAAACTCAACTCTGCAGTTCCTTTTGATTCTGCTGGCTGCTAACGTTGGAAAGGAGGCACAGGACACTGTAAGAACAACCGCCACCCAGCAGCTGTGCGAGGGAGCAGGGGACGGGAGGAGGCACCGCRTGTGGGCGAACAGCCTTCCGGGGCGGCAAGGAAAGAGAGGAACCCCAGCACACACCGTATACACACCAACCACCCAACCCTTAAAACACACCTTTATGAATCATTAATCTTAGCTTACTGACAGCGCAGAGGAAGTAGGAAATATCGGTAATCTAGTAAATCTCACGTCATGGGCTAAAATATAGGTATTGCACCTGTCCCAGGGCCTTCCTTCATTTTTACAGTCTCACAGTCATACATCTTCCTGCTTTATGGTGTTACGGCGTGGAAAGACTTGGGTTTTTTTGACTTTTTAAGCATAAATTGTTCTGCTTTTGCATGCACATGGAGGCAGGCACTGGGGCCAGATAAAGTACTAAAAGGATTAGGGCAATTCCTCAGCAAGGGAGCAGACAAGCGACCAGTGGGACAGTCTGAGCCCTCTAGGGTTTTCCTGTCCCCTCCTTACGCCAAAAGGGTCGATGCAATCCTTGGGACTGTGGTGCTACAGAAGCAGGAAAGCACAAACAGGACTGGGCACATCAAACAGCCAACGCTGCTTCCTCATGGCGGGAAAGGCCGCAAAAAGTACAAGTAATGGAAAGCAATGTGATCCGTCAGCAAGGAGCAGCAAGGATCATTATCAGCCTGTTCACTCTATTCTCTCTAACTGGGCGCTAAGACCCTCTGTACTACACATGCTCACCAAAGTCTTTAGGAAAGTCCTTGTTACCTCTTTTTTGGTTTTTTTTTTCCTTTTCTTGCTGGAACACCCACCTGTATCTCCGTCCCCTTCACGCTCCAGGCTAGATTATCCCATTTAGCTTTCAAAACTTCCCGCAGTTTTTGGCAGCTCCTTTTGCTTAACAGTCTCCCCATCTCTGCTGGCGCATCTGACCACCTCCACCGCTGTCGCCGTGCAGCTAATTCATAACACCACCGTATACCCCAGCTTACCAGGATCTCCAAACCATTAGCCCACCTTTTTCTGCCTCTTACATGTACATTAACAGTCCAGAGAAAGAGAGGGGATCACCAGGCCAATGCATTACACTGACATCGCTACAGTGTCCACATGCCTTCGACTAAGAAATCTGTCACCTCCACGTTCATCCCTTGATCGCCCTGTGTGACTGCAGACCCACAGAGCAGCAGTGCTGCTGCTTAGTCAACCTACRTTCAGAGCAGCACGAACAGTTGGTTTTTTTTCCTCTACAGTAAACCTGAAAGGAACTCTAATTATTTCTTGTACGCTCCCAGTAGCCAATTAAAACTGGAATTAAAATACAAATAGTTTAAAACATTTTCTATTACATTCTTACAAAATACTAAACAAAAAATGGTGCATCAAAAGAAGGAAGTGATTAAGAACCTATTCTCAAAATAATTATTATTTTTAGTTCCCATGGGAGCCGAGCRGGAGTCCAAGTTGAGGCTGCAAGTGAAACCGCTTTCTGCTCAGTGCGGACAAACCAGCACGAGGCCGAGAACAATATTTAGATCCCACTCCACATTCCACCAAAGTCAACAGCCTGTGGCTTCGAGCCAYGCTGCAACCGAGCGGCCGCCTGACTCGAACCCGTCCGCAGGCTTTAAAACAGCGAAACAAGAAAAGTCCCAAACTTAYTGATATTCCTTCCCAGCCTAGGAAACGCCACAGGCAACTAGGATCCAAGCAGGCGGATATGTAGCATGGGCTTCAGAGTAACGGAGCTGTCTTTATTTTTAAAATTCCACTAGAAGTAGCAATTAAAAACCCTCAAACACTACAGGGTTTGTAGCAAAGTGTAAGAAATATACAGCCACTGTGAGGACGCAACCTGTTTCCCTTAAACACAAATTAATAGTCTGCAATGTAATTAGAAACTGTGTGTAAATCTATTATGTAGTAAAACAGATTTTTTTCCCTATCATTTTTCATTTTAATCAAAATTCTGCATCTATGRTAATAAAACAAAATGCTGCAATTCTCTAAAACCCCAAATAAAGCATTTCTGGGAAAAGACTTTATTTGCATGGCTTTAAACATTTTGGAGTGTGCACAGAACCGCAGTAGAGGTGGGGCTGGAAAGCRCTGCTGGACATCACTGGGTCCAATCCCGCTCCAGCCACCACAGCTGCAGTTTTTATCGCAGTAGAAACATTTTTCTCATGTTCAGAGGGAATTTCCTGCATCTCAGTTTGTGGTTTGCACCCGCTGCTTCCCGTCACCGAGCACCCTAAGAGCCTGGTCCCGTCTTCCTGGCGCCTTCTTGTTCTCGGGCTGAACGGTCCCGGCGCTCTCGGCCTCTGCTTGCCCAGGAGATGCTCCCGTCTCCCAATCACCCATTTCCGTCTGCTCTAAGAGCCAGTAAAGGGCAGGCAGCCGGGACTGAATTCCCTTCCTTTCAACTAATATATTCCGAGAATTGTAATTTGCCAGCCTACAAGCTAGCTAATACTTTAACTGCCCCTACACAGGTATTCCTAAACACTGTCAGCTCCAACCACACCGCAAGACCTTCCAGCTTCCCACTTTTGGGAACACAACCTGTGGAAGGCTACTCTTATCCACAGACTTTCAAAAACATATGTTAGAGATGCCTTTCACTAACGATTCACAACAAACACAACTTAAAGGCTATGGCAAACAGATGCTACCTGCAAGGGCGGTTACTGAACGATCTTGCAGGATATTTTAGGGACGGTGCAAAGGGTTGCCCTGCTTCCCTAACAGGTACAGGGCACGTGGAGCAGCCACCACCCCTGCCGCGATGCGGCRGCTCCCTGTAATCAGAGCCCCGAAACAATCCCATCCAACTGCACTGAATCAGTGGAAAAACTCCCGGCATCAGTGGAAGCAGCATCCAGCTCTGACATGAGATGACTCACAGCAGAAGAATCCCCCATTCTCCTCCCTTAGATTACAGAATTTTAAAATGGACTTTGGACAACACAACCCCCTGGGACACCTCCTCTCTCTGGATTAGGGGAGAAAAGGACATTTATCGCATGCAGGCCCAGGACAGGTTTTGTTCTTATGCTTCCTTTTTGTATTACTAAAAAACATTATTTTAAGAAACACTGGGTTCCGAAGAGAATATTGAAAGCACAGAGGGGAAGGGCTTTTTTTTTTTTTTTTTTTTTTAAATACTACTATAAGTACTTCCTAAATAGAACTAATTTTCAGGAGGCAAGTCTGGACAGGTTATACAAGCTCTATTAAATCTGAATTAGTGTTGATTAAATAAAAACTATGTAGGACAGGAGAATATATATATTATACATCTATCTATCAAATGCTTTATTAAGTTGTTTCTGTTTCAACTTGCAGTACTCCAGCCTTAATCAGCATCAGAAATGGTCAAAACAGCAGCACACCCAATTTTCCTGACATTCTTCTATGCTCTGCATTGAAAAGCCTCATTTCCACCCTCTTGTTTTGGRGTGCAGGGGGGCTGCGGTGACGGCTGGCTTCCTGGTTTGTGCAATAGTATTTTCTTCTTTCGTGCTCTCACAGCAGCTGCCCCAGATCTATCGTAAGTGGAATTTAAAGACAAACCTCTGAGCTCTGGGGCTCAGATCACACGGACCTGGCCCTGCTGCCCAAACACGTATTCCCAGCACATGCAGCAAAGACATCCTGAAAAGCAGCATCTACAGACTTGCAGGGGACACTTCTCATACAGGTCATGGGTGTCTCATGTACTGGAGTTCTGAGTGAACCAATTGTGTTGTTTTCAGACCTAAACTTCGTAAATTTTTTTACAGGAACCATCTACAGAACCGCTTTGTGGTTTTTGCATGTGTGTGTGTGTGATCATCCTATGCCATTTAGGAGACAGACTGCAGGGACTCCACGATTTTTTGCAGGTGTTGGCAATAATGGTCTTTTAATTTAAGCAATAGGAAAAAAAACCTAATTGGATTTTGAAGCAACTAACCTTATTAGCCTTTTCAGTAACAAAGAAAATGTGCTTTTTGGCTTCTCCCCAGCATTTTTTTTTAAAGGAGTGGTTTTAGTTTGTTTTTTAATCTCCAATCTGTTTTGCTGGGGAGCTGGGCCTGTCAGCTCAGCTCTTCAAGAGCCAAAACTAACAATATTTCCCCAAACAAAGGTTCATTCAGAGAAATCRGATTCTACGCATTGTGTAGGGAGCAGAGAGGCAGGCAAGTGAAACAAAAACATTCCTCTGCTGAGTGACTGCGTGTAGGGCTCGCGAGGAGGCCACGCTTTCACACCCCTGCTTGTTACTACTCCTAATTACCAAGTCAAGCCCGGCCCGAGCTTTGGCAGGCCAAGCCCAGACAGGGCTTGTTYAAAAGCAAGCATCAAGGCAACTTGTTTTCTCCAGGACACTCCTACCTGCAATCCTCCCGTGGCAGCTGGTTTGGGATGAGGATGATGCTATGGTGCCCATGCTCCACAAATG